CAAGCACACAGATGTACCCAGACACATGCTTACACTGCCCAAAAGAGAAAACCCTATTCTGGGATGCCAACTCCCACTTTGAGAGCCCCTCCCCCTTCTTCATGGCAAGAGAGCTTGGCTTTGCTTCACCATGAGGGAAAAGCTATACTGTTATGTAATATAGGTGGAGAAGGTGGGTGAGGGCCATCTATGCCACCAATATTCAACAACTGTTAAGTTACCAAGATTTCTGTCCTTCCTCTGTGATTCTCTGTCCCTGCTCCAGAGGCTGTGACCTCAAGAACAATTTCTACCTCTGCTCTGGCCCTCTTTCATGAATGGTTATATTTTCTGTTCACTCATCAGTGTGATCCCATAGACTGCCTTGAGGCTGGCAAGAAAGACTGAAACAGCTCCTGAAAGGCCATGCAGAGGAGTCTGAATTTTGTTCTAAGTACAGGGGAAAGGCTGATTGATCCATCACAAGGCCTAGCTGGTCCTCCTGCCACTCCTGCCTTCTTTCTTCTCTCTCCACCTCTTTATTTGAAACACACTAAGCCCATTCCTACCCCAGGGCCTTTGCACTTTCTGGGACCTCTCCAAGATCTTAGCATGGATGATGCCTTCTCATAATTCAGGTAACAGCTCAAAAAGGCCTCTTCAGACAGGTTTTCTCTGATCATGAAATCTGATCTGCCTTCTTACCACCTCCTTTACTCCACTCTGTATCTCAGTACCTTGCTGTGACGGTTAATCTTAATGTGTCAATTTGGAGTGGTGATAGAATGGTGGAATGGCCTTTTGAAGATAATGCCTAGATATTTGGTCAAACATTACTCTGGATGTTTCTGTGAGGGTCCTTTTGGATGGGGTTTACATTTTAATCAGTAGACTCTGAATACAGATTGCCTTTCATAATCTAAGTGGGCCTCATCCAAATGGTTGAAGCCCTGAATAGGACAAAAAGATTGACTTCTAAGTAAAAAGAAATTCTGCCAGCAGACGATCTTTGGATTTTAACTACAGCTCTTCTCTGGGTCTCCAACCTGCTGGCCAACCCTCCAGATTTCTGACTTGCCAGCCCCTATAATCTCATGATCTAATTCCTTAAAATAAATGTGTGTTTCTATATATACACAACTTATTGGTCCTTCTTCTCAAGAACACTAACTAATACAGAATTTGGTACCAGGAGCTGTTCTAGAGAAACAGAAAGTCAAGGGTGAGTTTTCTGAATTTGTTCTGGGTTTCAGCCACCTGGTGACAGGTTGATTATGTTAAACTACTTCCATCTCAGCAGGGGCAGTGTTTTATTCTTACTAGAATAGATACTCTGGGTACAGATTTGCCTGCCCTGCACCCAGTTATTCTGCCACACTACCACCTGAGGACTTACAGAATGCTTTATCCACCGTCATGGCATTCCACACAGCATGACACCTGCTCAAGGAACTCACTTTCCAGCAAATGAAGTGCAGCAATGGACCCTTACTCATGGAATTCTCTTGTCTTACCATGTTCAGGAAGCAGCTGGCATGATAAAATGGTGGAATGGCCTTTTGAAGACTTGAGTACAGTGCCAGCTAGGTGGCAATACCTTGCAGGACATGGGCAAGGTTCTCCAGGGAGCTGTTTATGCTCTGAATCAGCACCTAACATACATAGTGCTGCAGGTCCAGGAGTCAAGGAGTGGAAATGGGAGTGACACTTCTCAATATTACCCCTAGTGATCCACTTGCTTTTTGCTTCCTGCCCTGTGACCCTATGCTCTATTGGCATAGAGATCTTAGTTCCACAGGGAGGAACTGTTACCCCAGGATACACGGCAATGATAGCAGTGAACTGGAAGCCAAGACTGCCACTGTCCACTTTGGGCACCTCACTCCTTTGAATCAACAGGCAAAGAACGGAATTACTCTGCCTGCTGGGGTGATTCGTCCTGACTACCAAGGAGAAATTGGATTGGTGTTCCACAGTGGAGGTAAGGAAAAGTCTGTCTGGAAAACAGGAGATTCCTTAGGGCATCTCTCAGTATCATCATGCAAACTCAATGGAAAACTACAATCTAGGTAGCACTGCTAAGGCCCTGACTCTTCAGGAATGAAAGTTTGGTCACCCATCAGGCAAAGAACCGTGGCAAAGTTGAGGTGCTTGTTGAGAGCAAGAAGGAATATGGATTGGGTAGGAGTAGATGGTGGTGAGTTATAAATGGCAGCTACAACCTTGTGACCAGTTACAGTAACAAAGCTGTAAGCGTCAAGTGTTTCTTCCTTATTTTGTTATGAATGTTTGTATGTGTGTGTGTGCATGTCATCTATCAGATATCTTCATTTTCTTCCTATTACCTTAGAACATAAGCTATATGACTATCATAGAAGTTAAGTATTGTTACCTTTACTTCATGGTATTTAAGCTATGAAATATCAAAGGGAAGAATGAATGTCACCCAGGGCCTCTTCATCCTGTCCTGGAAAGGGATTAGTGTGCTTTTTGGGTTATTGTAGGATAGTTGCATCTTGTCAGGCAGAAGTATGACCTTCTCATTGCCTTTACTGGGAGATTGAGTATGGTTTAATGAGATCTATACAATGGATTTGAGGTGGTTAATTCTGTGTGTCAACTTGGCTGGGTCATGGTGCCCAGGTATTTGATTAAGTATTATTCTGGGTGTTTCTATGGAGGTGTTTTGGATGAGGCTAACATTTACTTCAGTGGACTTTGAGTAAAGCAGAAGGCCTTCGATCATTTGAGTGGGCCTCGTACAACCAGTCAAAAGCCTGAATAGAACAAAAAGACTGACTTCCTCTGAGTAAGAAGGAATTCTGCCAGAAGATGGCCTTTTTGGTCTTGAACTATACATCACTTCTCCCCTGGGTCTCCAACCCTGTGGGCCCATCCTGCAAGTTTTAGACTTGCCAACCGCCACACTCATGTGAGCCATTCCTTTAAATAGATAGTTTCATATACACATCCTTTTGACTCTGTTTCTCTGGAGAATCCCTAATACTCACTTTCTTGAAAAAGAATAAAAAACATGAAATTCTTCAAACATATCCCCATATACAAAGAATAATGTAAACACTGATGTTTCTACCCAGATTTAACAACTGCTGACATTAAACTGTATTTGCCTGAGAACTGTTTTTCTTAAAGAAATAACATTTATAACATTTACAGATATAGTTACATTCCTATTATTAATCTTTTCTGATTTCACTCTCCTCCCTCCCTTTCAAGAAGTAATCACTTTCAAAGTCAGATAGCATCCCCATCCATATTTTAATATTTTACTATAAATGTATGCATCCAGAAATAATGTACTTTATTTGTATATTTAAAAAATTATACTTACATGACATCATATTGTACTTTATTAGGCTGAATTTAGAGCCAAACTGCCTGGATTTAATTTAGGGCAAAACTGCCTAGGGGTACGTGTTTGTGTGTGTGCATGTGTGCGTGTATATGTATTCATTAAAAAAATTTTTGCCTCTATGTACTGCATGAAGTGTACTAAAGACTAAATGCCTTGAAGCTAGATGATTCATTCTAAGTTATATAATACTTGTTTGTATATATAATATTTATTTCCCTATAGATGAATATTGTATTTGTTATTGTACTGTTGCAATAAGTACCCTTATACATATATCCTTGGGCACATAAAGGGGAGTCCAAAAGGAATCACTTTCTGGAGTGATAAAAGTGTTCTAAAATTAGATAGTGGTGATGGTTGCACAGCTCTAAATATACTAAAAATCAGTCTACTGTACATTTTAAAAGTTAATTTTATAGTATAAAAATTACCTCAATAAAGCTGTTGTTAAAATACAGATAACAATAAAAGGTGATGTGAAAAAAATATCCCAGCTGTACCAAACATGGCAGAGGTTGTCTGACCTTTAGCAATGTATTTGAAAAGCTCTATTTGTCTCTTCTCATCTCTAAAATGGGGAAATTATAGCATCTGGCTTGTAAATTTGTTATGAGGATGGAATGAGTTCATATTTGTGAAAGGGCTTATTAGAACAGGGTGAAAGTGGGTCTGACAGTGCTCGGTAAACGTTAACTATAATTATTATAAAACCTGCAACCTGTGCTTTTCACTGCATTGTTCTCAATGTCCGTGATAAGACATATGGATATATATACACATATATATACATCCATATCCTTGGGAACATGTGGGGTGTTCAAAATGAACCTAGAAGGGAATTAATTCCTGGATCTTGCACATGCATCATTAGACTTTACTCAGTATCACTAAAGCTCTTTAGCATTAGCACTGTATGATATTTCCTCTTTTTCCACATCCTCACCAATACTTGGTGCAAAATCTTGAATTTTACAAATGAGACAGGGACTGTGGTTGTAGTCAGAGCAGGGTGAGGGCCTCTGGAAAAAGGCACCTACCAAAACTCCGTATTAAATAATTAAGCAAAGTCAGAGTCACATTAATTCTATAAAGTACAATATCAAACTAGGAATATAAGTATTCTTCAGTGAGACTAGTTAAAACTAAAAAGCCAGGAGTAACTTGGCCTGGAATGTTTGAATATCCCCAGACAAGAAAATATCTCAGCATAGCCCAGGTCTTCATTGTGTCAATTAAATGAGGCTATTGTAAAATTTACTTTAGCCTGCTAAAAGACCAGCTTATCTTCTTTAACTTTACCCAGATGCTGCTTTTCTTCCTCCAGCCCCTAATCAAGTAATATATAACTGGGGCAATTAATATAGCAAGCAGGCCCAGTCACAAGCAACATAGTAAAAACAAGAAAGATTCCATCTTAAAGAAAAGATTGCAATTTAAAACCCAAAAAGAATAAATAGGTTTCTTAATAGACAATAACCCAGCCCACCTTGGGAGCAGTACAGGCAGCCTTGATTGATATGCTCCCAAACCAAGAAGCTGCTATTCTGGGAATGAATCAGAGCAGTGAATTTCCTGTTAACCAGCTCCCCAGCGCGCCTGCGCGGGATCACACCACCCACCGGAAGTGGCAGGGGCGGAGTCTGCAGCAGGTCCCGCCCCCGAAAGGCGCGTTAGAGTCCGGGCTTGATCTTCCGCCTCGCGAGGCTCTACTTCGGATCTGGTGGCGAGCGCCGCGGGTGTAGAGCGGAGCCGTGCTGAGCTGGCTGGCGGGCGGGCTGGGGTGCCGCCAGCGCGCGGCGAGCCATGCTAGGGGGCACCTCCCGTGCTCGAGAGCGGGAGGCGGAGGGCGCCGCGGCTGGGCCTTTGCCGGCGCCGCCTGCCATCGATTTCCCGGCCGGTGGCTCGGATCCCAAGTATGACGGTGAGACACCTGGAGGGCCGTGGCGGCCCTCGTCTTTCCCCGTCCACCCCATTTCCGGGGGGACGGGGCAGCCGCGAGATTCGCCCCAGCGCCAGGGCTAATCCGGCTGGATCCGGGCTGGATCCCGGGGCCTAGCGGTGCAGCGCGGCGGGCGGCTGGCAGGCGGCCCGCGTACGACAAATCTTAATGAAATGAGTGTCTGCGACCCGCTCCCTTGTTTACGTTGCAGTTTCTGGGTTTCCTTTCTGCAGACTGTGGATTTGGAACGTGCTAAGACTTCCCCTCAGGCTGCAGTCCAGTTCCCAAAAGCCCTGTCGTTTTGTCAGGCGATGCGGATGAGCTTTATAAACTGGAAGGACCGGACTCTGCAAACCCTATCGCAGAATAAGAGTTTTAATTTGTAGCTTCTACTGTGTTTTGCTTCACTGATTGGGTAAAGATTTCTCATAGGCAGTATGGAAATCATCCCCTTCGGCGTAAAAAAAAAAAAAATGCCCAGATTTTTTTTTGGCTTTTGGTTACTACGAGATGTGGCCTTAAGTCATTCAAGTTATTCAACATAAAGCGAGTCAAAGCTTATTCCGTAAGTTTTTCGATTATTATCTCTAATACCTGTAATTCTTGACCCAGAGGGAGGCAGAAGCAGACTGTGGTGGTAATTTAAGTAGGCCATTAGCAGAGGACAGTTGTAAGATAACTATTTGTTAATGGACAAACTGATCTTTTTCACATATAAGGTGGTATATTAATAGGAGCTCAAAAATTCGTGAAGTGTTATGTCATAGGAAAAGCCCCAGCTGTCAACTGGCAGCCTGTCTTTTTCTGTAACACTGTGATAAGGTTTGCTGCAAACCGAAGATAATTTTTAAAGGGAGTGATCTTAGATAAGGTTGGAAAAATTTCCTTCAAGGTTACTAATAATACTGTGTTTACATATTGCCTTTTCTTCCGAAGAGGCTCAGAATATCCAGATGTAGTTTATCTTTTTAGGCGAAAAATGTAGTTGCATTTTTAATAGATGTAAAGACAGAATAGTTAAATGATTGAAGGTTGTATGGTGTGAGGAGGCCACACAGTGAGTTAGAAAATTCAAAACCTAGATGTAACCCTGAAACCCGTGTTCTGCAGCAGTTTATTGAGTGCACCAGCCTTTGATCAAAGTTACTGTATGTGTGTTTGTTTGTTTTCCTGTGCGTGAGCATACTTTGGAAGGGGGGCAAACAGTAAGTCCCTTGTCAGACTCATTTAGTTTTTCTTTTTTCATCTGACATGAGTTTTTCATAATTTTTGCCCCAGAATAATCCTCCAGGTTCCTGTTTCATTTACTAAGGGACTGTTGGGACTGTACTTGCCAGAGGAGGTTGAATTAGCTGATCCCTTTTCTGTTTGTCTACGCTTCTACTTGGCAGAAGTTTGGAACTCTTTTTCACGTAGGATCTGTATCAGATTTCCTACACTTTGATGAGAGGGCTTGACCTCATCTTTCCTTTTGGCCGCGCTCCTCTTCTACACTTAATCAGAGCTGCGAAATGGGAAACTTTCACTTCAGCCTTAATTTCCGTTGAGTTTTGCTCCTCCCCTCACTTAGGTATTTGTCCATTGGTCTTTTTAAAGTTGTCGTTTTTTTGATGAGGTTCATTTGACTCCACTGAACAAACCATTTCTTCTGTTTTTATTTTTTTCTTATTAAAAAGCAGGAAAATATGAGAGAAAGAAGTAGAAGACCCTTTGAACCATAATGTCACCACTGTTAACACGAGTATATTTAAGAAAAAAATTTTTTCACATTGAAGAGTATGTTGAAAATATAGAAAAACCTGATGAAGAAAATTAAATAAACTATAATCTCATCACCTGGATTTAATCTTGTCTGCATAACTAGAGACAAGTTAAATGATGCATTTTGCATTTAAAACTATTTGTCAAAGAAAGGTAGCATGGACAGATTAAAGATTTCTATCTGCTTTTGTCCAGATAAGATAAAAATTTAGAGAAAGTCACAAAAATTTAAAGGAGTAAAGGGAAAAGGGCAAAGTTACCTGTACTTACATTCTAGAGGAGGACTCACTGCTAACAATTTGATGTATTTGTTTGTAAAAAATTTGGTGAGAGCTGCTGTGTGCCAGCTAGATGCCTGCAGATACTAAGAATTAAACAGGCAAACTATATATATATAATTGAAAATAGAGGGAGCAGAGACTGTTTTGGCTTTTCATTTTGTTTGTATATATTTATATCGTTGTAAAAGAAATATATTTTAAAATTGTTATCGTGCAGTTAACCCTTGAACAATACATGGGTTTGAATTGCACAGGTCCACTTACATGTGGATTTTTTTCAATAAATGTATTGGAAAATTTTTTTGAGATTTGTGACAATTTGAAAAAACTCTTTTCTCTAGCTTATTGTAAGAACACGGTATATAATACATATAACATGTAAAGTAAGTATTACTGGACTGTATTATCAGTAAGGCTTCAGGTTAGCAATAGGCCATTTGTACTTAAGTTTTTGGGGAGTTGAAAGTTAAATGCCAGTGGGGCTGGGGTGGGGGCAGGGTTGGTACCCCTAACCCCTGAGTTGTTCAAGTTGTGGTATGATAAATACTTTATTTATGTTCTGCTTTTAAAATGTGACATTATGTTAGCATTTTGTTGTGCTAAATTAGCCTTTAAAAGCATTATTTTACGTTGGTCACATGTTGTGCTACCATTTAGTCTTTGCTCAGTTGTTGGAAAATAGGTTTGTCTTTTTTTTTAACCTTTAGGAATAATAATGGGTTTGACATCTATATACATAATCTTTGTTAGTATCTGATTATTTCTTTAGATTTCTAGAAATAGGATTTGTTGGATCAAAGAAATACATTAAAAAAAAAATGTTTCAATACGCTTTGTTAAAATGATGGCCAGACAGGTGATGTTGGTTTGCATCTGTCTCACCTCACCCTCATTAGTTTTACTGTTTCTTAGCCTGCTTCTTTAATAATGGATCGTTTATGATTCCTTTCTATACACCATCCTAGTATTCTGTTACGTCTCTAATTTACCTAACAATTTTCCAGTATTCTGAATGGTGTTACCCTGAACACGTTGTACACACATATGTGTTGTGCTTTGTTTAGTTACTTTCTTGGTATAAATTTCCAAAAGTAGAAGGACTGGGTCCAAGGCTTGCACATCTTAAGGTCTATGATGTATTGCCAGAAGTTGCACTTTACCTCCTTGTGTGTGAAGTTGTTTGCCTTTCTCTGTGCCTAGCAATACCAGGTATTGTCTAGGCCTTACGTTAGTTACCTATCTCATGGTGAATTCTGGTACCGTAGTTATTTTAATATGTATGTCATTAGTTACTAGTTACATTAAACCTATTTGAATTTTAATTGTGCTGCATTTTCTTAACAACTTGGAAGAGCTTTATATACACTTTTTTTTTTTTGTCCTGTGTAGTACAGATATAAGTACTGTATCTGAACTTGTGGTTTGTATTTTAACTTTAAGATTCTCTTTACATAGAGAATTTTTTATATGGTCACATTTTTCATTCTTTTTCCTTCCCATACTCAGACAGTAAGTATTCATGAAAATGAATAGCACGTCTGGTCCTTTTTTTGGCCACCTGGAGGTCAAAGAGGAAATTTGTAAATGAAGTCTAGATTTATACATTTTGTTTTTTTCCTGGACCTGTAGTAGTTTATAGAGGACAGAATGTTCAAAATGGGATTGATTTTAGCAGGTGTAGGATATTCGGCTCCTGTTTCTGTAGGGCATTTCCAGATGAAAGGGTCAACAGCTCTGATTTTGAAGTGTGTCTCATCTTCCCTCTAACATCCCCTCTTACCAGTTTTCACACTCCTTAACACCTCCATCCTCCCATTCCTAGTGTTTTAAATCCTGCCAATCCATTTCTTTCTTGATCTCTCTGGCACCTCTTCCTTCCTCCACATTTCTGTCACTTACCTCCTTCACTAGGCTCACCCTAACTTCTTGTTGACTGTTACATGCCTCCTTCCAAGTTATTTATTACATGTTTCTAGAATAGTTTCCTCAAAGATTTTTCCTTCATTATGTTTTTGGCACGTTCAATAATGCATTAAGTAAACAGCGGGAACTTAAGACCTTCAGCATTAAGTGCCAGGTCCTCTGCCTGCTTATTCATTCCTTAACCTCTCTATGAGGTCAATGTCCTCACCTGTAAAATGGGAACACTTACCTTTTACTGTTCTGTGAGGATTAAATGAGATTGTGCTTGTAAAACCACTGGTACACACAGAGCATGTGCTCAGAGTAGTTTCCATTCTTCCTCTGCCAAACTTCTTTCTTTATGCCTGAGCCTAGGCCATCCTCTTGGTGGAAGGAAGATCCTATTCCAGCTTGCTTGAATATTTATTCATTCATTCATTTATTTCTACCTTTGTGCATATCATTACTACCCGAACTTTTTCCCTTCCCACCCTGGCATCTTTCTGCTAGTCTTCCAACTTCCAGAATTCAACTCCATTATGGAAAATCTGTCTTGATTAACCCCATTGAACTACTGTTTTGTTTTCTTATTTCTTTAAATTTAAACAGTTTGTGGTTCATTAATTAGAACATGCTGCCTTGTCATTATGAGATGTGTTTACCATTCGTTAACATTTTTTCCGTTTTTTACTTTTAGAATCTGATGTTCCAGCAGAACTCCAGGTGTTAAAAGGACCCCTGCAGCAGCCGACATTCCCTTTTGCTGTTGCAAACCAACTACTGCTCGTTTCTCTGCTGGAACACTTGAGCCATGTGCATGAGCCAAACCCACTTCATTCAAGACAAGTGTTTAAATGTTAGTAAAAATAAGCTAATCTTGCTAAAAGATTAAAGACTTGAAAAAATACTATAATATTTTATGCTCTGGGTCTGAGAAGCAGTTGGTCTGTAAACCTTTGAGATAAGTATTCATAGTTTATATTTCTTAAATTCATTATTTTTTATTTTCCTTTGGGCAGTTACTTAGGAATAAAATCACTGGGGGCCCCAAAAGATTAATAACGCATGAAACTGTGTGTATTTAAATAAGTAAAAGAGTTCTTTGGTATCTGTAATGTGAAAATTCATGTAATTTTTGAACATGTGTGACAAACATCACAGACATTCATTATGAACCAGTTCTTGATCAGAACACTGGAACAGCATTATGTTGTATTGTTGAATAGGAAACTTTTCCTCTGTACACTGAATACTTCTGACACCAACTCTGTGAGTTTTTTTCTTTTTACTACACCAACCAGTTCTCTGATACCAGCAGGTGTCCTATAATTAAAATCAATTCTGACACTGTACCTGGAGTTAGTGTCAGATTCCACAGGTTAAGGGCTCAGTCCCCCAAGATTGCCCTCATGTCTGATGCCAGTTGCAAGCGGTGGGTCCCCAGGGTCCTCAGGTAACCCACAGTTGTGTCCAACTTGGCTATAAATTGGGGTTTCCACTTCCTTCTCCTAGGTTTGAGAATTTGCTGTACAGCTCACAGTACTCAGGGAGATCCTTTTGCTTACCAGTGTTTTAAATAGGAAAGGCTGCGAAAACAGATAGAGGTGAACAGCCAGATGAAGAGGCACACAGGGTGAGGTCTGGTACAGGTTCAGAGCGCAGGAGCTCTGTCCCCATGAGGTTGGGTGTACCACCTTCCTGGCATGCGGATGTGTTCACCCAAAGGATCTCTGTACCCTGTACTTGAGGGATTTTTATGGAAGCTTCATCATGTTGGCATGATTATTAACCCAATCTCCAGCCCTTCTCTCCTCCCTGGAGAATGGGGTGGGAGGTGGACCTGAGTTTTAGCTAACCATTGGCTGGGTCTTTCTTATGACAAGCTCCAACTTTGAAGTATGTGGGGGATCCCAGCCACTAGTTAGCTGGCTCATTAGCATACAAAAAGACACTTGTCGCTGGTGATTCCAAGGGTCTGAGAAGCTCTTGTGTCAGCAACTGAGGTCAAAGATCAAATATTAGAGCAAAAGAGCTCTTTGCACCCCCAGCACTTTGGAAATGACAAAAGTTTTAGGAGCTGTGTGCCATGATCCAGAGACAAAGACCAAATGTATTATTGTACTATAGTTGTTGAAAATATTTGTTATTCCTGCTGTTGGAGAATATGAGCATAGAAATGAGCAGAATTATAGATCATGAGGTATCTGGCCCAGCTCAATGAGACCATTGTGGCCTCTGTAGTAGCTCCAACCACAGAGTCTAAGGATCTTTTCTACCAAAAAAGTCCCAAGTTTTGTTTGGTGTTAGAAATCCTCAAACTTGGTGATACCTTTATGTGATCTTAGAATGTAATGTCTTTAGTTAAAGGTAGGTTATCATTTTGATGAGCTCGATGGGACATGAAAAACTAAATATATTTGTACCAGTGTATACTTAATATTTCCCTGAATGTGTGGTTGGGAGGTGGGTTGTAAAAAGGGGGTGTTGTGTAGGTTCCAAAGCATTGGTAGCTGGGAATTATTGTGTTGGGCTCATTGTGTAGAAAAAGCAGATTATAATGATTTTAATATAGTAATCTTGCTCCTAATTCAAGCAAACCTGTGACTCTTGCTGATTTTAAGATCTTTTTGAATTCCTTTTTAGATGACTGAACTTTTAAACAAAGTATATTTAAGAGTTTGTGACGTGATTCAGTTAGTTGATAACCTAAATGGAGAGTTTTACATATAGAAAGAATATGTTCTGTGGTCTCTGTATTCCTTAAATGAGTAAAAGCCAAGCACTTAACATAGAAACGTTTGTCTGAGCTGCCTGGTGTTATGACTTCAGACCTGACTTTCCCCCTCATAGCTCATCTGTACCCACATCTCATATGTGCTCTTGGTCTGTTGGTTAAAGGTAGTCAGTAACGGAAAACAATAATCAGTAATCACTTTTGTTGTCAGTTGTAATCATTTGTTCCCATGCCTGCCTTTGTTCTTACCATTGCTGGTCAGTAAAGTGCAGTGTATTTGGAGGTCAGGAGATGACTATGTTTACACACTTTTCTTGGCTTTTCAAAAAGCAAAGCTTAGTACGTCACTGATGGACCAGGCATGGAAAATGATTATTGAGTATCAGATAAGTAATTATACATGTGCTCCTGATCAGCAAGTGTGCCAATGTTTCTTCTATCTTAGAGAATCAATTCCCAAGTTGAAACGTGTATAAACATTACTTTTTTCTTATGGAGGTTTCTTTCAGTAGAGAGTACTATTAATTCATTCTCTGTGTACTCTTGAATAATGCTGTTTATCCATGGCCTTTCTAATAATAGGTTTCCATATCCTTTTTTTAGTACTTTGTCAGACATTTACCAAAATGGGCCTGCTGTCTTCATTCACGTGTAGTGATGAGTTTAGCTCGCTGAGGCTGCATCACAATAGAGCCATCACTCATTTAATGAGGTCAGCTAAGGAGAGAGTTCGCCAGGTAAGCACTGAAATACTGAAGCACTTTATGTATGACAAAAACACTGAAATTTCAAGAGAACTTTATTATTAATTACTTTTAAAGTTTTATTTTAAGGCATTATGAAATCCAGATTATAATACAGGTTTATAAAAATGTCAGCTTTTAATTTGTTTATTCAATGACTGCTACGTGTTAAGCTCTCTTGTAGGCACTGTTGTTCAAGCAGTAAACAAAGTAGACTTGAATCCCTGCCCTCATGAGACTTATGTTCTGATGGGGCAATAAGCAATAGAAAAATGAAAATATATAAAAATGGATGGAGTGTTAGATGGTGATAACTGTTAAGGAGAGATATAAAGCAGTGAGGAGGCTTAGAAATTGTGTAAGTTTTATGTGGGGTGGCCAGGGTGGGCCTCCCTGAGACAGTGCTACTTAAGTTCAGGAGCTAAAGTTGAGAGAAGGAGCCATTGGGTAGCTGGAAGGCAAGAATTCCAGGCAGAGCAACAGTAGTTTGTGAGGCACCAGTGTGCCTGGCATATATTGGAAACTGATGGGCAACTGTATGGCTGGAGTAAGGAAGGGGGAAGGTAAATCAGAGTTAGGGGGACAAGGAAGTGAGAAGGAGAGATGAATTAACATCTGGAGACCATTTTATGTCTGGTTTTTACTCAGAGTAAAATGGGAAGCAGGATTTTGAGCCGAGGAATGGCATACTTGACTTACACTGTAATGGGGTCACACCAACTGCTTTGCTAAGAACATGCAGGGCAGAAGCAGGGAGACAGGTGGTGACAGGTACAACCCTGTAGGCAGGAGGTGAGGGTGGCTTGGGATGGATGGTACCAGTGAACATGAGAGAAGTCATCAGTTTCTGCATGTATTTGGAGGATAAAGCTAACATTCGCTTCAGCTCCTTCATCAGTACATAGTAAAAATACTCTTTTAACAGTGATCTTTTGGTTAAGAGAGCAGTATTGTCAATTGTAAACTCTTAGGTAATATTGAAAAAGCATTCTGCAAACGTTTTTTCCCCCAATATTTAAGCATCTGGGACTATTAATTTGACATTGAGTTTTGATAGATTCTTTATTCCATGACATTTAAAAAATACTTTTAAAATTAATGTTTTTGATTTTAGGATCCTTGTGAGGATAATTCTCATATCCAAAAGATCAGGTAAGTACTTTTGTGATTGTGCAGACAGTAAACTATCCCAAAGACATCAGCCTTGATAGTTAATCCTGAATTAATCAGAAATTCAGTGTTAGGGTTAAAAAGTAATGTAGTTAGGGTAGTTTATGAAAATTAAAACCTTTGTTCTCTCAGCAGTTAATTACTGCTCCAGGATTTGCCCTACTTGTCATTCCCTTCTCTTTGATCCCTTTTTCCTGCCGCCTTATTCTGTGTGGTTTCCCTAAGTCCAACTTTTAATTCAGAACCATGATACTCAGTGTCTGCCTGAGGAACATCATTGAATTTTGGCTGTATGTAGGAAATGCTACGTGAAAATCTGTATATAGTATGGACCATTAGGAAACTTAAGTAAATTCATTACTGAGCTCAGCTAATCAGTTGCTGCCTGTTAATCGTCCTTAGGATTCTTGCTTTAAAACATTGAAGATGATTTCTAATTGGAATAGAGATCACTGGAAAAATACTGAGACTAATGCCCCTTCACTCTCTTTATTATACTGTCCATTGGCTCAGCAAATATTTTCTTCATAGAGAATGTAAGTTTCACATTAGCTCATCCTTTCCAAGTTATCACAACTTAGTGATAAACAAGATTTGGCAGGTTAGTAATATTGTGAACCTGAAATATCCTAGAACATTTTGGTTCTTAATATTAATTGCTTATTTGTATTTACCTTTTAGGTCAAGGGAAGTAGCTTTTGAAGCGCAAACTTCACGTTACTTAAATGAATTTGAAGAGCTTGCCGTCTTAGGAAAAGGCGGATATGGAAGAGTGTACAAGGTTTGTAGTCCACATTCTCATTTTGACATACTACTCTGAATAAATGTATTTTGAGAAGTTTTCATTAGTATTATTTAAAGTGCTCAAAAGAAAATTCCTAGAAATGATATATGTTTACTTTTCATTAAGATTTGTGATTTACAGGGAAGGGGACAGGTTTGTTTTTCCTGACCATATGGTGGCTTAGGTGGATTCTGCAAACTGAGGTTTTGGTCTATTTTTTATTAAAAATAGCTAATTTAATAAAAATGGCTAGTTTTTATTAAAACTGTGTGTTAGTGAAAAAAGCAGTGCTACTGTGTTTCAGGCCTTATATAGATAGCCCTTTTGCTAACATTCCCATTCTTTAGACGCAGAGCTTCTAGGAACTGGACTCTGCAGTCTGAAAAGCATCTAGTTAGCTGACTGTAGGCGACTTGCCTGAACATAGTGAAGAGGATGCATGTCTTTAATTTTATCTCTTTGGCTAGTTTGGATTGTCTAATCAGGTTAAAAGAACTTTTTTTAAAATTCAGCTGGAATTTAATGACACAATATGTTTTGTCTCCTCCTCTACTTTTTAGGTCAGAAATAAATTAGATGGTCAGTATTATGCAATTAAAAAAATCCTGATTAAGGGTGCAACTAAAACAGATTGCATGAAGGTAAGATTTTTAAAATTCACTTCTTTTTAATAGTTGGGTATTTATTTAGGTCCTTTCAAAAGTTACTGTGTGTGTTGTATATTTGCAAATACTAGGTGGTATGGATTGCCAGTTTACTAAGAATGGGTTACAGTTAACTATCAAAACTAAATTTTTGTGTCTTAACTTACTGTAGTCATTTCAGATTGGACACATTTTCAGGGTCATTTCTGGGGAAATTAATTTTTTAAGTAAATTGTTCATATATAACACAGCTCATCATGAAAAATCACGAGCTCAGTTCAGGTTTCAGTCTTCTCCCTGACACGCTGTATGGGCCTAGTCCTCTATGCCACTTCCATCCCCTGCCCTTGAAAATTGAAAGAGTGGTGACAACAGTGGTTTTATTTACCTTAAAGGACTGGACTGAATTGTAAGAATCAAGAGAGAAGGATTATGTGAGCTGTGAAAAGTATAAAGTGCTATTGATACTCATGTAAGTTACTTGGTTATAAATGGCTATAACAGTTCCATTTGTCTCTCACAAAAATATTCCCATTCTTTTAAAGCATAGTTTAGATTCCTTGTACAGAGGGGTTTTTGTTGTTTTGCTCTGGAACAAATAGTATTTGATACCATGAACATTTAACAAGTTGTCAGTAATAGCCACATCTCAGTATGTCCTTCTTCAGGTACTACGGGAAGTGAAGGTGCTGGCGGGGTTTCAGCACCCGAATATTGTAGGCTATCACACTGCTTGGATAGAACATGTTCATGTGACCCAAAGCCAAGGTAAGTAGTTTTAGACGCAGTGGAAGGGTTGGCAGACCTTGGACCATGGGCCAAATCTGGCCTACCCCTATTTTTGTGCATCCCATAAGCTGATAATTTTTTTATTTTAGTTTTTAAATAATTAAAAGGAATAAAAAGAAGAATTTGTGGAAATTATATGAAATTAACATTTCAAAGTCAGTAAAGTTTATTAGAACACAGGCTCATTCATTTGTGTATTGTCTGTGGCTGCTTCTGTATGACATTGGCAGAATTCAGTGGTTGCAGCAGAGTCCATAGGGCCTGCAGAAACTAAAATATTTACTATCTGGTCCACTACAGAAAGTTTGCTGACCCCAGGTATAGTGGAACAACTCTGTTTTTGTAGTTCCTAAAACGTGCAGTCATTTGAATAAGCTTGGGTTGTATTTTGCCAGAAGGTCATGACATTTTTAGACTTGTAGTCTCACTTGGTATTATCTGTACATTTTAGCTCTGCCTTTGACTGTAAAATAGAAAGTAGGTTGCTTGAAGATTTGTTTTGTTTTTGTTCAGGAGATAAAATTCCTACTCAGTTGCCATCTCTGGAAGTGATATCTGTCCAGGATGATGACAGGTATGTGGACTGGTGTTACTTTTAGCAGATTAGATACACTCTGTTGTCACCTGAATTGGGCTGCCTTTGTCTTTTTGCTTATTTTCATTATGAAATGTTAAATTATTTCCTTTCAGATATTTCCTGTCAATATTTTAAATAAATCTTGCTGCTAGACAGATTTGCTGACATGTTTTTAGCAGTTTACCAATAAGGCTTGTATAGGCTTGAAGGAGCAGTTGAGTTACTTTTGATCTTTTTTTTACCTTGATTTTTATCTTTACTGTTTTTTTTTCCTCCAGAGGTCAGTACGATGTTAAAAATGATGAAAGTAACAGTTCATCCATTATCTTTGCTGAGGTCACCTCCGAAAAAGAAAAATCCTTAGGAAAATCTGGCATTGAAAACCAGAATAACCGACTGGTGAACTACACCACTAATGTAGTCACAAGGGACGCCAGTGAACTCGAATCATCCCTTTTGCTCCAAGAAAATGGCTTGGCTGATTTGTCTTCCAGAGCAGTTGTTGAGCATCAGCTGCCATTTAGGCATGATTCAGACTTAGAAGAGAATTTCACATCCACTGAGGACTCTTCAGAAGAAAACATAAACCCGTGGGGGCAGACAGAGGTAGATAACTTCCCTGGAACCTACCAGTCTGACGTTTACCCGTAAGAATTACATAGAGGACCATGAGATGTGGTCTTCCCTCTTCCCCGGCCGGCTTCCCACCTTACACCTTTGTTCCAGTCCAGCTCTTCTGCTCCTGTGTTTGTCTCTTCTCCATATCCCCTGATACATGGCTTCTGTATTTGGTGTTCCCTCCTTCCCCAAGTTAACCCCTACCAGTCATCTCCTGACTTCCCTGACTGGGTCCTTGAGGTATTCCTATATATGTACCCTGTAGTTGGAAGCATCCTTCACACTATTTCTGTTGTATGTTAGCATCATGTCAAAATATGCTGTCAAAATATATTTATACATAAATATACGTATAATTGTATTTATGCATAAAGGTTTTCTATATTTGGTACCCGACTTTGGGAGAGAAGAGGGATGACCAGGCCAGGTTTCAGGAGACTCTTGTTACGGCTGTGCTGATGTGCTGGTGAGACTCCTGTGACTCTAATCATGATAATTTGAATAAAAAAATCCTGAACATTAACAGGGTCTACACATCTGACATGTTAGGATTATAAAACTGTATGCCAACTTTATGTACACACACACAACTAATTATTGTTCAGTAATAGTAGCTCTGTTCATATGCTTATTTGTTTGTTTGTTTGTTTGTTTGTTTTTTGAAGAACATTATGTTTACTAGGCTCTCCCCTTCACCAAGTCCCCCCCACAAACCCATTACAGTCACTGTCCATCAGCGTAGTAAGATGTTGTAGAATCACTACTTGTCTTTTCTGTGTTGCACAGCCCTCCGTGTTCTCCCCCCCACATTATACATGCTAATCGTAATGCCCCCTTTCTTCTTCCCCGCCTTTATCCCTCCCTTCCCACCCATCCTCCCCAGTCCCTTTCCCTTTGGTAACTGTTA